TGGCGGAGGTGGAGCATGCAATCCTCGGCCAGGAGTCGGTCCACGACGCGGCCGTGGTGGCCATAAAACAAGACGATGAGGAGCTAGAGATGGTCGCTTTTGTGGAGGCTCCAATAGATGGCCCAACCCGCCCGGACGAATCCAGTAGCCAGGTGCAAGGATGGGCAGATCTCTTCCAGGACAGTACGTATGAAGATATTGCGACCATCAGCAAAACCCGCGTGGGCAATGACTTCATGGGCTGGACATCGATGTACGACGGGAAGGAGATCAACAAGGTTGAGATGCAGGAGTGGCTTGACGACACTATACAGACTGTGCTCGATGGCCAGGAACCGGGCCACGTCTTGGAGATAGGCACTGGGTCTGGCATGGTTCTGTTCAACCTTGGACAAGGACTAAAAAGCTATGTTGGCCTCGAGCCATCGCGGTCAGCCGCTGCATTCGTTAGTGACGTGGTTCAGTCGACCCCTACCCTAGCCGGCAAGGTTGAAGTACATGTTGGTACGGCAACAGATGTTGGCACACTTGATGGGCTCCACCCTAACCTGGTTGTGATTAACTCTGTGGCCCAGTACTTCCCTACCCCAGAGTACTTAGTTGAAGTGGTGGAGGCCCTTACTCAGCTGCCGGGTGTACAACGTCTCTTCTTTGGAGATATACGATCATTCGCCCTCAACAGAACCTTCCTTGCATCGAGAGCAATCCGTATACTTGGGGAGCAGGCAACAAGGGATGAGGTCCGACGCAAGATGTCAGAAATAGGAGAGCAGGAGGAGGAGCTGCTGGTTGATCCGGCTTTCTTCACCGGGTTAATGAAGCGGCTACCGGACCGGGTCAAACATGTTGAGATTCTACCGAAGAAGATGAGGGCTACGAACGAGCTGAGCTCATACCGGTATGCGGCTGTTGTCCACCTATTTGATCTATCAGAGCAGTCCGAGGAGCAGACGCTACCCGTGCATTCGATCGCCTCTGACGCTTGGATTGACTTCAACATCTCCCAGATGGATCGCCATGCCCTGATTGACCTGCTACACAGCTCAAAAGATGTGCTAGCGGTCGCTATCAGCAATATCCCGTATCGAAAGACGGCCCTAGAGCAACATGTAATCCAGTTCCTTGATGATTACAACAATGACAACACCGACTCTGACACCGGTGCCCGCGCTAATCTCAACGACAGCGTAGGTTCACAGGACGGAACCACGTGGATCTCAGATATCCGGCGCAAGACACAATACGGGCGCTCACTGTCAGCAACCGAGCTTGTCCAGGTCGGAGAGGAGGCAGGATTCCGCGTGGAGATCAGCTGGGCACGACAGCGGTCGCAAAATGGGGCACTAGATGCTGTCTTCCACCGCTTCCAGCAACCAGATAAAGGAGGCCGTGTGCTAATTCAATTTCCGACAGAGGATCAGGGCCTCTTGGTGGATTCGCTCATGAATCGCCCGCTACAACGGCTACAGAGTCGACTGCTTGAGGGAGGTATCCGCGCTGCACTACGGGCCATGCTACCCTCATACATGGTGCCGACCCGGATTGTGGTGCTTGATCGACTGCCTGTCAATCCCAGTGGAAAGGTTGACCGCAAGGCACTTGCGAATATGGCACAGGTCATACCCAGGAGCAACCCCACCTCGGTCCACGTGGCCCCGCGAAACGACCTAGAAGC